TTATACCTTTAGTAGCTCCATAAATGGATCCAACGTCCATTGATACAACCCCCGCAGCAGAAGACAGGAAAACGATGCTTCCAGAACCCGAGGCTTTTAGAAGCGGATGTGCGAGTTGGCAGATGCTGAAAGCAGATTCAAGATTCGTAGCAACAAGAAATGAGAAATCTTCGGCTGTGAAATTTTGAGTCTGTTTCGTTATGACTGTTCCCACATTATTGATCTGCATGCATAAAATACTGTCAAGAAATGTTTCACCTAAAACGTTGTTCAAGCATAGAAGTCGAGAAAAAAGCTTTACTAGAATGTTTAGTTTGCCATTGAACACAGATGAAACAGTTTTCAGTAGATTCTCCCGTTCCACTGGAGACTTTACATCACAAACTGAACCAGTAACTTGAAAACCCTTTGTCTTCCATTCATGTAAGCATTGATTGAGGTGATCTTCGTTTCGAGAGCAAGTGTGCACGGTTGCCCTGAGTCCGGCCAACTCCTCCACGATGGCATGTCTAATGAAATATAGATGATTGGATTAATTAGATCATGTATCAAGTTAGGAAAGTGGTAAAAAAAAAAAAAAAAGTTTAAGGTAAAAGAGAGAAGCTAAACAACCCGATTCCTTTGGTTCCACCGGTGACAAGAGCTGTCATTCCTTGAAGACTCCATCTACCACTATTTCCTTGAGCCATTATCTCCTCCAATACGTGCTTTGCACAAGAGAAGGACTACATTGATAAGATACGTAGTTATGCTTTGAATTTATAAAGTTAAGAAAATAATAAATACGGTTCAATATATCCGTGTTTATGTCTAATTAAATAATGTACAAATAATCATCTATAAAGTTATCATCACATATCAAGTATTATTATAATTAATTCGAATCTTAGATTTTTAAATTCCACGAGAAAGAAGACTGGTTACTTCTTCACTAACCTTAATTAACTATTTTTTTTTGGAAGATTGGGAGCGTGAAAGACGCAAATGAGGCACTGAGCGAGATCGTTTTCTCCGGTGATGGGACAAACAGTTTTAGAGGAGAAGATGGAAGTGTGAAAGATGCAGATGAGGCACTGCCCGAG